TTTGTCAGTTTATGTTGTTCATTAGATTCCACATATGAGTGAGATCATGTGATATTTGTCTTTCTCTGACTGGCTTATTTCACTTAGCATAATACTCTCCAGGTCCCTCCATGCTGTCTCAAAGGGTAAGAGATCCTTCTTTTTTATTACTGCATAGTATTCCATGGCATAAATGTACCACAGCATTTTTATCCACTCATCTGCTGATGGGGACTGGGCCATTTCCATCTTAGCTGTTGTAAATAGCTCTGCTGTGAACATAGGGTAGGGGTGTCAAACTCAATCAGAGAAGGGGCCAAAATCTAAAATCCAGCCTAAATCGCGGGCCGAATGGTTTACTGAACAGTCATAAACTGTCATTGTGATGGAAACGCAGCGGAGTGCAGTGATGACAGCGCGGTGCGGGCCACATTGCAAGGCCTGGCGGGATGGATTTGGCCCGCGGGCCTTGTGTTTGACACATGTGACATAGGGGATACACAAATTCTTTCTGATTGGTGTTTCAGGATTCTTAGTTTTGCATTCTCTGAAATGGGATTGCTGGATCAGATGAGTTCTATTTTTAGTTTTTTGAGGAAACACCATACTGTTCTCCACAGTGGCTGCACTACTCTGCATTCCCACCAGCAGTGTTCTAGGTTTCCCTTTTCTCCACATCCTCACCAGCACTTGCTGTTGGTTGATTTATTGATGGTAGCCATTCTGGCAGGTGTGAGGTGATACTTGATTGTGTTTTTAACTTAAAAAATATTTTTATTGATTTCAGAGAGGAAGGGAGGGAGAGAGAGAGAAAGAAACATCAGTGATGAGAGAGAATCATTGATTGGCTGCCTCCTGCATGCCCTCTACTAGTAGTAGAATTGAGCCTGCAATCCAGGCTGAGCCCTGATGGGAAATGAAACCATTACCTCCTGGTTCATAGGTTGATACTCAACCCTGAGCCACGCTGGCCAGGCTGTAGTTTTAATTTGCATCTCTGGTCCTGGTCCTGGTATGTGAGGGAGGCGATCATTGATGTGTCTCACACATTGATGTTTCACTCTCTCTCCCCTCCCCTCCCTCTCCCCTTCCCTCCTTCTACTCTCTCTTAAAAATCAAAGAAAAATATCCTCAGGTGAGGGTTAACAACAGCAAAAAAATGAAATACATCAGTGGGTGTGTTTGTGTGCTTCACTTTCTTCTGTTCTTCTAGTCTTTGAGGAAGGTCCTCATACACAGTGCTAAGTCATTTTGTCAGGTCGCTGAAGTGGTTTCTGGCAGCAGAGATTAGCAGTTCCCAGAGCAATTTGCAAAAGCAAGATTGATGGGCGTGGAGTTTTGTCAACAAGCTCTTATATCGGACTATCTCACTGAACTGCTGGGGTGGGAGGGAAGTGGATTGGTTTGTATATTAGCTTCTTGCCCTTCACACGACCTTAGACAAATCCCTTGACCTCATTTATAATTCCATCCTAATACCCTCTACACTAGAGAGCTATTGGGAAGATTATATAAAATAAGAATGTGTGTGAATCACTCTGCTGTGTGCATCGTGTTACCTGGTTTGTGTTCACTGCCGAGGCCTTCCCCTGGTAAATGATTATTTTTATGGCTTATTTTGTTTATGTAGAATGATGTTCTTATAATTCACATGCTGTAGCAGGAGTCCATTTCTCAAGGAAAGAATGAATTACTTGACCTGGGTACGGTATTTGTCTGCTTTTCCTGAATTTGATTGATTCTAGGACAGTATCTGCTTTTTCAGGCCCAATTTTCACAAAACTTCCCTAAATTAGACAAAAGTAGGTAATTGGGCTAAAGAAGTGTTTAAATGATGAGACATTGAAAGCAATCCAGCATGTCATTTGGAGGCCCTGATTTCCTCTCTCTCCAGGCCAGGGCTGGGCCACGTGCTCAGTCAATGTGGATCCAGAACAGTGTCTCTCTGCCCAGTGGTCACAGTGACCTTCCCTCTGTGGGCTCAGGTGACCTCGCACTTCACCACATGTTAGCAACAGGGTTTGGCTCAGTCATTATCTGCAACACTCAAAAACTTGTTGTTTTGGCCTGTATGTGTTTCACAAATGTACTATCAGTGATGCTTTTTGTGTTTTTGCTGTAATCTGCCCTAAAAATATTGTTCCATACCATCAATATTCTAGTTGTGGTAAATGGATCTAATTTCTATATCTCTACCTTTTAATGAGCATACACGAAAAATTTTAAGTTATTTTACCTGTAGCTTCTGGATTACAGAGATTGGAGTTTCTAGCAGAGGCTTCTTACCCTGGTGTTCATTTTCTCTGGACTTAATTCCTACCTGGTGGCTGGAGGCTCAGCCTCAGGTTTATACAAGATCCCATTAAGTTTTTGCTGCCCGCCCCCTCTCCCCCCAAGATAATTATGTGTAATGAATTTCCTTGTATTTACTTACTTTTTATTTTTTACTTATTTATTTACTTCAGAGAGAGAGAGAGAGAGAGAGAGAGGAGAGAAAGAGAAACTGTGATTAGTTGTTCCACTTAATTACGCATTCATTGGCTGCTTTTTGTTTGTGCCTTGATAGGGAATCAAACCTGCAGCCTTGGTGGATGGGAACAATGATCTAACCAACTGACCTACCTGGCCTGGGCATGTTTTCCTTGTTTTTTAAATGTCCTCTTAAGAAGACAAGTTAGGAACAATTTTGAATTAACGCATCGTAAACCAATGCTCCTGGATTTGCTCTTAGATATGTTCAATAATCTTTCCTTATCTTATGCTCATTTACTCTCTTACATAATTAATTAGCTTCTTTTTATAAAAATTTTTTATTGATTCAGAGAGGAAGGGAGAGGGAGAGAGAGAGAGAAACATCGATGATGAGAGCAAATCATTGATTGACTGCTTCTTGCATGCCCTACACTAGGAATTGATGTACACTGGGAATCAAACTGTGACCTCCTGGTTCTTAGGTCGACTCTCAGCCACTGAGCCACGCTGGCCAGGCCCGATTTGCTTCTTAAGCAAACTAATTAAAATTGTGTTATGACTGACATTTGATAAGACTTTAATTTTGAGATTTTACCGAGTGTTCTTCTCTGATAAATTTAATGGAAAACAGTTGTAGTTGCTTATAACTGCAGTCTTAGCAGTGATCAGGTTGGAAGCAGGCCTGCTGGGCAGGGCAAAGAGATAGCAGGCAGATGGGGCAGTGACTTTAATTGCACTGGGTGGCCTCCTATCAGGTAATGGAAATAGTAAAAGGAACAGGAAGTGTATTTATTTTCAAAGAAATCTTCCTCGGCCACACTGGGATAAGAGTGAAGTTACTTTGGAGCATTAGCATATGAGCACAGGATCCATTTTTCCAAGAAGTCCAAAGGGGATTTGTAACCACTTGGGCTTTTCATGTGAAAAGCCAAGGGTTTTTCTGTTTGTTTGTTTGTTTGTTTCTGCTTTTATGGGATGGTTTATGGATATTTCAGAATCTCTTCTTTCCTTTTGGTATGATCTAAGCATGTGGCTAAGTAATTTAAACAGAGATAGAATATTTATCTTTATTGTTGAAAGTATTACAGATGTCCCATTTTTCCTCATTGACCCGCCCAGGCCTTCCCCACTCTATACTCTGTGTCCATGTCCATGGGTTATATATGCATATAAATACTTTGGTTAATTTCTCTCCCCTGCCCTTGCCTCTGAGATATGTCAGTCTGATCCATGCTTCCATGTCTTTGGATCTATTTTGTTTGTCAGTTTAATTTGTTCATTAGATTCCATTTACATTTAAGTGACTTTTCCTATTATGTAGAAGGTGTTCAGATAACTGACAAAGGAAATAAATCAATAATGCTTAGTTCAGCATTCATTCAAGTGTTGATGTTTTCTTAAAACAGGGTAGATAGGTCAGGAGAAAGAGTTCGCATAATGCATTGACCCTGTGCTCCTGGGTGAAAAAGAAACTGGTGTCTCACTTCCTTTCACTGTCTTTCAGGGGTTGGGCATTATTTTTATTTGAAGCAGAATCTATGTATTAATTAGGTCAGACTTCATCAAAACATCTATGAAAATACAGTCTAGTCTAAAATAAAGATATATTTTACACTTAACCTTAGCCAAAAGTATGAGAAGTGATAATAACGATGTATTTTTTATTAATATGACTTATTAATCCAAAATTTCTTTTGAATTTCTTTCCTGTACAATAGACTGAGTAGGCTTCTGTAGCTGACCAGTTAAACTTGGGCATGCATTTCCTGTTCATTTCAGTCATTTGTTTTTTTCCATTTGCTTTCTAAAATTTCCTGTCAAACTCGTTTACTTGCTTTTCCATTTGCTTAAAATTTCCCCCCCCTCTATTTTGAGTTTTTTCTTAGGAGGGAAATATACATACACAGATTTTTTTTTCCTAGTATCTCTTTCTTGTTAGTAAGATAATACCAAATGGTAATTTCTTCATTGATGGATACACACTATAAATAATAATTGCTGGAATATTTAAAATTGTAATTCTCTACTTCTGAATGTGCTCTTTTACAAACTTAAATGGAAAACATGAAGAGGAAGAGAACCCTGACGTTAAATAAAGAAGTGTTGTAGGTGGCATTATGGAGTGGAGTGAGCCCTGGAGTGGGAGGCACAGGCCCAGCTCCCAGTCCCATTCTCCAGTTAATTCGTCCCATCACTGGGAAAGCATCTGAACCTCTGTGGACCTCAACTTCAAATGGAAAGTTTGGAGCCAAGTATCCAGAGTTCCTCATGGATGCAGACTCACTGAGGGGAGTAAGGCATTGTCTTCTCTTCACAAACCTGGTGGCAGTTTTCCCCTTGTGTTGGTTCAGGAAGACATGCCTTGCTCACAGAGGCAGCATGGTCCGGCCGAAGGAGACAGACCCAGGCACAGGTTTCCCGTTAGATGCCAATGTTGTAGAACCTTAGAAATGTGGTGACGCTTAGTTTAATAAATACACTCCAAACTCAGCCTGAGGAGGAGTGTTCCTTCTGGATCTAATGCTGTTTGCCTTTTCTTTTGATTTTAGGAGCTTCTTTAATGAAGAGTGCCAAAGACTGAAAAACCAAACATGAGGGTAGCAGGTAAGATAATATGTCAACTCTGTAGAAATAATTTTGCTTGTTGTGTAACCTGTTTGTTTAGTAATGGTGAAAGGGGGGGATTTCAGAGAGAAAGAGAGGGAGAGGGAGAGGGAGGGGGAGGGGGAGGGGGAGGGAGATCTACCTTGCTGAGGAAAATGAGCGATAAAGTTTAAAAGCTTCAACATTTTTAATGTATATGAATAAATTAAAACTGTAAAGGATTCAATAGATTGTGTTTTTCATGTTACTTACGTACAGGGTGGGGCAAAAGTAGTTTATGGTTGTTCATATGGAAAATAATATCATCATTAATAAATAACACAAGAACAGTGTTTCATGTACTCACAACTGTAAACCTACTTTTGCCACACTCTGTTTGCTAATTCAAGTTCAGTCTGCCTAAATGACATTATGCATAGGCACATCTCTTTCTTAGGAAGTGGACCCTTTACATAGAAATTTCAGAGTGTGTGTCCAACATAGGCAATAACTTGTAACTCTCAAAATCAAGATAGTCATTCTTTTAATTATCATTTTCTTGCCCACAAACAAAATATTTTCCTAAGGGAACATCTGTAGCCAGTATTTAGTTTTTGTTTTCCCTGCTGCAGTGTTTCCCAAAGTGTGGTTTGCGTACTCCCAGGGGTATGGGAAGAGTTTGGTGGGGGTACGCGTTGCCCCGGAGTTTGGTGGGGATATGCATTGCACCGTGCTTAGCAGCGCCTAATTCTACGTTCTCATGTGTACAAGGGGTACTCAGCGTTACAAAAATTATAGAAGGGGTACACATATGTCAAAAGTTTGGGAAACTAAAGAAAAATCTTTCCAGAAACCAAGTGCTTGTTTGTGATTTTAAAAAATTATAACGTCTTTTCTTTTTAACAAAAAACTTTGAGTACAGTAGGATTGCAATTACATATTTCCAGATGATTTTCAAAGTATATTATTAACTAAGCATGGTTATTTGAAATAATCAAAGCAGATTTCCCTTGCTCACATGATTCTACATTCATTCTAGTTCAAATGGACTTGTCATCTAGTCCATTTTTCTGATTCTGACCATTGCTACAAGGCTAATTGATGAGTAATTATTCACTGAGTGATGCTTATTTCATGTTTGGCTCTGTTCTTAGTGTAGTTCCTCAAGGCCTTGCTTTCAATGAGTGAATAAGGAAGAGGAGCTGTTAGTTTATTGCTTTCCAACTAATTAATCCTTCTAATTTTAAAAACCATTCTGCTTGCTTTGAAATATGCTTATAGTCATTTTCATACAGTGAGGCATCAGTATCTAAAGTCCATGCTTTTTGATTTGTGAAAAAATAGGGAGATACTCATGCTGTTGTTTGATTAGTGCAGCTCAAGGCTAGAAGGAAGAGGGGATCTCATGGGAAGTTAGGAATGAGAACTATGGTGTGGATGGGGAGGCCCATCCAAGTTCAGCATTGCATAGTGATCAGCAATGGAAGAGCTCTGTAACAGACACCCCAGAACTGTGCCATTGCGGAGGCTCTGCTAGCCTTCCCCTGCCTGCTGCTCAGGGACCACCTGCTTGTTCTATTACTGTTGGTTTCTCCACCTTGAACTTCTTTCTCCTTTAAAGCTTTTGTGTCCTAGATCCTCTGATGGTCCAGTATAAGTGACTATGTCATGGTTTAAGACTGAGTTCTACTACCGATGAGTTATGTAAACTTAGGCAAGTGGTCAAAATTCTTAGCCTTGTCCCTCTTATTTGTAAAGGGAAAATACTATCTTAAAAATGCGTGCAAATGAGATTATGCTTATGAAGCATTTAGCTCTATAGTAGGCAGTCAGTAAATGGTATGTGTCTGTGCATCTGTGTTTATGGTATGTAGATTTGTGTGTGTGTGTGTGTGTGTGTGTGTGTGTGTATTTTCCTTAGTGTAGGCTGCAGTATAGCTTAGTATTGAATTCATTCTAGAACTTCCATGTATTATAAACTTGCTATTTTAACAGTGTAGTCTTGAGCAATGAAGGTTTTACCTGTCTGCTTTAAGCGCCAGGGAAGGGTGATCTCTAGTTGCACCTGCCCGGGCCTGCTAGGAAATGAGATGTTAACTCATCATGTGATAGAGGTCTTAACTGATCGGGAAGGATGCCACCTGTTCCATTCATCTATTTAGTAAACACTTGCTGAGAGTATTACTATGTGCCAGGCACTCACCCGCATACTGCATGGGGGAAGGGTTCAAAGCCTTGTGGAATTTTGCTGTCTTAGGCTCCAGAAATGTAGACAACTTGTAGTCACTCTTAAAGACAGGAAGCACAGTTTTTGGAAGGGAGACGATAAGAAATGGAGGGTCGAGGTTGATTGGGGTAGTGGTTAGGCTTTGTTCTGTCATTGCCCCCTGCCTTTCTGTGTACGGAGTGTTTCTCAGTAGAAACGAGGAGCTCTGAGAAACTGCTCCTCTCAGAGTCATTCGCCTTTCAGAGCATCCCAGTTCATTTTCCTCCCCCCTCTTAAGGATGGAATTAGCGCATCTGTAGGTTTATGAAATTAGGAGGAGTACAGTGCTGTTTTACTCTTTCTTTCCCAGTGAGTTGAGTGTTAGTAGTTTATCGGGAGACCATAGCCATTTGGTGACAGAGTACTGTACAAAGAACTGGGCCCTGTCAGGACGCCCGGTGTCTGGTCCTTGTGCTGCCACTAAATGGTCTGTAATCTTTGCTTCATCTCTGGACCTTTGTTTCCTTAAGGAGAATGAGATAACTGATGATCCTGCTTTCCTCTTTTACATCAATACTAGAGGCCCCAGTGCATGAAATTTGTGCACAGGGAGGGGCCCTAGGCCTGGCCGGTGATCAGGGTTGATCAGGTTTCCTGCCTCCTTGCCTCCCCTCCTCTTCCTTCCCTTGCCCCACCGCTGGTCGCCCTCTATGTTCCGTACCACCCTCTGGGGGTCAGTGCACATCATAATGAGTGATTGAACTTCCGGTCGATCTCCCCCCACAGGGGACACTTTGCATATTAGCCTTTTATATATGTAAATAAGTTAAACTTTTGGTAAGAGAGGGTAATTGAGATTAGACAGACAGATACTTAGATTGTTCCTGAATAACCTAATGAGATGGCTCTGCAATCCTAAGGGTGAGAGGAAGATGCTTCTTTCCCATCACTTTCCATTTCCTTTCCTGTCTTACACTTTCTCTTTCCTAGATTTACTTAGCCTCTGAGAAAAAGGACAAATGATGGTTCATATTAAGCAGTTAATTATAGTTAGTAGCAGTGCTAACTATTTGTAAGGCACTCAGGAATAGTTAAAAATGTGAAGTTATAAAAGATGAAGAGTCTGTCTTCATAGAGCTTACTCTGGAACCACATTGTGAATCATATGTGATAGGTGCCGGCTGACGTTATCCAGCAGTGGAGGAGGCCTGTCTTACACTGAGTATCCAGTCTGAGGATACTTACACTCTTTGGTTCCCATCCCAGGAGCACTCATGTGTCTCCAGGAGACAGGTTGGCTGGTGATAGGACATTTCTCTTGAGAGCTTCTTGCTGGGTGGACATCATGTGTGTTACATCAGTAGCTCCAGAAGGCCCACGGCTTTGGTGTCATCCCTGTATAGAACTGTTCCCCATCATATTTGAAAAGGACTAGGAAAGCGTCATCCAACAAACTTGGTGGCAGGCTTCCATTAGCCATGATACTTCATGTAGTCGGCCACCAGTTGATGGCAGGTCTTTTTTTTTTTTAATGTAATATTAGGCAGGTGACTCAAGCAGTTCTTTGTCTAGATTGCTGGTCAGTCTGATAATCCTTTGATCAGGAAAGTCCTTTATTTTGATGGATGGTTGGTACAGTTTTTGTTGAAACTCAAGTAAAATTAAGCTCAGTAGATAAAAAAGTAAAAATGTATTAGTCTTAAAATTTTTTTAAATGAACTTACACTTTTCATTGAAATGTTACATAAAAGTTCTGTGGGCTCATAAGCTGCTTTCTGCTCTTTCTGTAGGTGCTGCAAAGCTGGTGGTAGCTGTGGCAGTATTTTTATTGACGTTTTATGTTATTTCTCAAGTATTTGAAATAAAAATGGATGCAAGTTTAGGAAATCTGTTTGGTAAGTTCCATTTTTCGTCTTATTTTAAATCTTGTTTTTGATGTGAATGTCTCTTTACCACTTACCAGCATTGAGTTGCACTGTGTAGGCTGCCTGGAAAAGAAAATGTAATTATGCCAATTAAGTGTGATTCATTAGAATGTTTTAAAAAGCACAATAGAAAGTCTTAAAATCAATTCAGTATAAAGCATAAATCTTCTATTCAACATTTTGAGTATCTTTAAAATAGTGTCTTTTATACATGCTTAGAGTCATTAATCAATGCATTCTAGATGTGCACTGTGGAAGATACCACTGTCTGAGCTGGCTCATAGAAAATTTGGAATCAAACCTAGCCCTTAATTAAAAAGTGGTTAGGAGTCATGATTATGTATTTTAAATACCAGCCATAGAAAATCAGTGTGCTTTTCTACCCTTATTTTTCTCTTGCAACATTTTTCTTTTCACCAATTTGTTTAATGCTATATTGTAAACATACCATTGTAAGCTACCTTAACTCAGTTTTTAACATTTGCATTAATAAAAGAAATTAACATTTGAAATACTTGCATAGCTTTGGCTGCTGGATTTTAAAATCTACACTTGAAAGGTGAGGCTATGAAACCAGTTAACAGTATTTTGGCCTACTAGGCGGGAAGTGGATGAACAACTTTCAGCTCTCTGGAATAGCGAATTGTTTTCCATAAATTAATATTTGAAGAGAAACCACAAGAACCAATTCATTTCCTTATATCTTATTTCAAGACTCCCTTAAGCCAGTGCTTCTCAGACTTCACGGTCAGATGAATCTTCAGGGAGTCTTGGTAAATGCAGATTCTGACTAATTGTCTGGAATGGGGCCTAGGAGTCTGCATTTCTAACAGGCTCTCAGGTGATGCTGAGATTCCCACTCATGGACCACATTCCAAGTTTCAAAGCTTTAGACAATTCAGACATGTAGTCATCGATTTTTGTATAAACATCCTTAGGTGACTTTCTTACAATGACTGCTTAAATATACTTCCTCGTATTGCACTGAATTCTGCTCTTTATGCTCCCAGGTAATAGCAGTTCATTTGCTTCCGCCTCCTTAAGTTCTCTTCCGCATTAATGATCTGTCAAATAGCTAACTTGTAGTTCTACTCCGTCAGGTCATCTTTTCACAAGTTTTCATCTTACCCAGTTATGGATTCTTCCCTTTCAGTCGTTTCTCTTAATGTACTGGTTCTTCTTCAGAACCTCTGTTTTCAGCTCCCATCTTAACATGAAGTTTCCTGGCTCCAGCATCGAGTCGTTACTGCAGAGTATAGTGAGGCTTTATCTACTCCTCTGCATACGGTATTTCTGCTCCTGCGGAGGCACAGCTGGCGCCCGGGAGAGGGCAGCTGGTTTCAGAGGACTGAGGGCAGAAAGACACTGAGGGCTTGGGGGACTTGTCCAGTGTGCCGTGGGAACAACGTGGCTAGCTGATTCTACTAACAAAGGCCAATGGTTAAGGAAGAAGATTATGGGATGGTAGTTGAAGCAAGCTGAACATTTTTTTTCTTTTTCGAAGTAATGGAGAGACTTCCATTGGTCGAGAGGACAAAGACTCAGTGAATTACAAGCCAGTGGGAGGAGACTGAACAGATCAGAAAAGCAGGATCCTTGAGAGAAGGGAGGCAGTGGGACCATTGGTACAAATACAACGTCAGGGAAAAGCCCTCTGTTCTCAGAGAGAAAAGGCTGCGTGAAGCCACTGTTCGCCCTAGTTCGGATCTTCATCTCTAGTCAGGACCATTTCTATGAGCATCAAGGGATCTCGTTATGTCTGCTTTTCCTCTTTGACACACGCCTGTCTCCCAGCTGCCTCTACTCGCCCCTCCCACCCGGGCCGCTCACTCACCATCCAACCTGCACGGGATCTGGAGACACAAACCCTGTCCTTTGTACCTCAGCCTTTGCTCATGCTGACTTCTCACCCTGCACATCTTCCTCACTCCCCTTCATCTGTGCATCCTTTCCTTTCTCAAAACTGTGTAAGTGCCCCTTCTTGAGAGAAATTGTATTTCAACCTCCCTCAGTCCTCTAAGAATGCATTGCTCATGTTTCTGAACTGTTTGTTCTAATGCATAATATAACATATCTCACTTGGACACTGATTTTATTCTGCCTTATATTGTAGTTTCTTTTCTTTTATCCTTTTCATGTATCTGTCTTTCCTTACCGCAGAAAAAGTCTTGAGGGCAATAATATCTTGATGCTTCACCCAGCATCTCGTGCTAGGCCCTGTAAATAGCAAATGGGGAATGAATTTTGGTAGTGGAGGACTAGGATTTTGACATGGAAAGAGTGAGTTTATAAGATCGGATTCATTGAAAGCTGTATTAGTTGAAAAGCTGCTGGTCATCAGCTATGAATAAATGCTGAGCTACTTTAATCGTTGCTTCTCTTATTTTTCATCTTGATTTTTCCTAATGTTGGTAACTGCCAGGCTTTACAGTGTGTGTTTTAGCTGTTTAACTCAGGCATGCTTAGGCATAACTTAAGTTGTACACTGTATCCACCAAACCTTATTGGATTCCAGACTATTGAATTGGTGAAAATTGAATTTGTATGGTTATATTTTACTTCTCATTTCAGAATAATTGAGCAAAGATGGAGATATGGTTGTCTTTGCCGTTTGTTTAGCATCTAACTTAATTTACCACAGGGTAACGAATTTAACTGAACATTGAGATTGTTTCTGTAATTCAGTATTGTAGAGGGCCCATGAGATTATGTTGTTTTGTTTTTGTTTTGTTAATTTCTTCAATTACAGTTGACATACAATATTATATTAGTTTCAGGTATACAACATAGTGAGTAGACATTTATATAACTTATGAAGTCATTAGTAACTATAATTCTCTTGGTGGTGAATAGTACCCTGTTTTTCATCTTGCTGATATTATAACTTAGTTGATAGTTTCTATAAATTGGAATCCAAGTAGATTATATAGTACTCTTGTAGAAAAATAAGATGAACTTACTTCTAGAAAGGAAGAATTAAAGATTTTGTATACAATTAGTAGTTGAAAGGTAAAAAAGTCAGTGGTGCAGGGGCAGGCTAAATAGCCATCTCAGGAGGTGATTAAAGAAAAACTGCATTTATTTAAGGAAAAGGGATGGGAGATGGGGATATCCAAAGGGAAGAGCTGCACAGCACTGAGCCAAAGGGTATTGGGTCCATGACGGCAGCAAAAATGTGCTTAGGACAGAGACACAAGGACCTGCATCGAAGCAGCGACAGGAGAGCTGAGGCCGAGCTGCTCTGGCTCACTGAGAAGTCAGAGAAAAGGGGGCCTTGGAGACAGGTTCAGAGGGGTAGCCCTGGACGAGCTACTGCTGCCCATTGCTCCCCTGGTTGTAAGCTTCGTAGGGTCCCTTAGGGATTGGGGATACACGGGGTTCTTCGTCCTGATGGAAATCTCTTACAGGTGGAAATCTCAGGGGAGGGTCTTAATAGAGCAGTGGTCAGCAAACTTATTAGTCAACAGAGCCAAATATCAACAGTACAACGATTGAAATTTCTTTTGAGAGCCAAAATTTTTAAACTTAAACTTCTTCCAACACCACTTCTTCAAAATAGTCTCAGGCCGTGGTATTTTGTGGAAGAGCCACACTCAAGGGGCCAAAGAGCCGCATGTGGCTGTCAAGCCGCAGTTTGCCAACCACTGCAATAGAGTATCCGTCAGCTTTCCAGCTGTGCTCTTTCGGGGTGGAGGTCTCCAGTGAGAGGTCGGCGCCGGGTGGGAGGGTGGGGGGGTCATTAGTCAATGCAGCTGGTCCTGAGGCAGCCACGGTGCCCCTTGTCTGGTTTTGCTGCTTTTCTGGGCCGGGAGCTGAAACACACTGTGGCCTCGATGTTATCTTCAGGGAGGGAAAGGTCAGGGGCTCTATACCGCCTGACCAGTGACATAAAAGATCAGAGGTCCAAACCGCGTGACCAGTGATAAGCTAGGGGAGGATGAGTCACCCTGCGGTGAGGTGCTTGTTTTTCCAGTTTTACCAAAGGACTTTAATTGTGATTTAAAAAAACAAAACACAATATTTAACAAAACTTTTTATTTTATAGATACAGATGCACTTATAAGAAATATTAAGTGCATGAGAAATAATAAGTGCAATAAGAGATTTTATATACCATTTACTTAGACCGAGTAATGTCTTGTGAAACTATAATATATACACTGTCACCACCAGGATATCAACACGGATGCAATCTGCCAGTCACAGTTATGATTGTGATTTAAGGTAGTGTTAGTTTTCAGCATGGACACCTGGCTTCTAGTGAGAGTAATGAAAACAGTCCAAATTATTTTTGCATATTGCTACAGTAAGTACTTAATGTCCCATTGGATTGATTTATTCTTTCCCCTTTCAGACTTAAATGGTTGAAATATTATATACATGAGTTACCTCACATTACTAAAGACTAAAGTGTAAAATAATTATGATTTCTTCAGCCTGATTCATTGAAAGACATTCACTGATGAGACCAAATCAGGAATGTTTATTAGTATTTTTCCTCGAACTAAAAAAATGTTGAAAAAATTAAGAATTAAAGCTTTCAAGGTAGTTTGAGGAATAAAAGCCGCAGAAAAGGCAGGATTTTTGTGTTGGCTGTGCCCAGGTACTGCGTGTGGAAAACATCCCGTCTTACTTAGGAAAGTTCACCTGTTTGGCCACCAGGTGTTGAAATTCTCAGAATTGCAGGCCTAGTACAGGGCCTTCAGTTGGATGAATATTGGATAAAAATTAGTTCTCATCTGGAAAGAAAAGTCTTTCATAAGCTTCTTTACCTTTAAGCATCTCTCTTTACTTAATATACAAATTAAATGGAGGTGTTGTTATTTACTTAAAAGCCTGTTGAATAAGAAACCGCTTTTCCCAAAATTGTATGTATCCCAGTAACAGTTTTTGAAATGAGTAGCATTTACTGTTTTTATGTTTGTTAAGTTTTACAAACAAATTGGACTCTTGCAGAGGCTCATCCCTGCTTTTGCTTCTGCCTCCTTTTCTTCAGCCAGACTCTCTCTCTGAGCATTTGGTGATTGTCGGTGTCTCTGCGAGTCTCTCCTCAGCCCTAGCTTCACTTTAAATCCCCTGTTGGGTAGCCCCACCCATCATTGGCTAATTTCCTAGTTTATAGCTGTCCCAGGTCATATTTAAGGTTGACCTCTGGACTTTTTCTCAAGGGTCTTCTCCCAGTATCTGAAAATTAACAAGTTCGACACAGAACTCATCGTCCACCCTCCACTCCCTTCTCCTCACTTGATTATAAACATTTTAAGAGCAGAAATGATGTTTCCCTCACCCCCAATTGGCTCATGTGAATGAATAAGTGAATGGTTCTAAAACCAGATGTCTGAGAGACAAACCTGATTCCCCTCTTTCCATCATTCCTCCATCTGGACCATGTCCAAGTCCATCCGTGTTGCTTCCTTAGTTTGTTCTGAACCTGCCTATCTTTCAAGCCCACCTTCACTACCTTTGTTCGGGCTACTCTCCTTTTCTACCTGTATTACTTCAGCAGCTTCCTGGTGGACTCCTTGTCTCAAGTCTTGAACCCTCTTCTATCTGCTCTCCACTCAACAATCAGAAGACATGTTCAGCTCCATGTGATTATACGCCCCAGATAGTCTCATTTCTGGGGATGGTGCAACATGAGTGTGGATGCTAGAATGAGATATGGCTTTGGAAATGATCTCTGCCAATTACTAATTATGACTTAGAACAAATCAAATCACTAAGCCTCTCTGTTCCATTTATTTCTCTTTAAAACAAGGATGATGCTCATGTCAATACTATATGCAGGAGTGCTGGTAGAGTGCCTAGCATATGTGATGAGCTATGTTATGTTACCCCATCCCAATCCCATTGTCTTTCTCTTATCTTGCTACCATGTTAGGTATACCAGAATTCCTGACTTGATCAGTGGTTCCCTGTCAGCATCTTAAAACCTGAATTTGATATACATGTTCATTCAGGACAAAGTAGAATTGAGACTTTCTAGTTCTCAGGAGCTTACTCATTGGTTACTAACAACTTTCTGAGCTTTCTCATTTATAAAAGTGAGAGCACTGGACCAGATGATCTCTATAATTCTTCCCCAACATTAGGGAAAATGACATAATTAGGGAAAATGACATAATTTGCCAATTTGAAAAAAACAAACTCCAATAATTCCAGTACCCTAATTTACTAACTGGTCATTTTTTGTTTCCTTCAGGTCTTTTTTTTTATCCATGAGTATTTTTAGTTCTTACAGATAAGTTTTGTTTTCGCTTTTATTCCAAATTAGAGGCCTGGTGCACAAAATTTGTACACAGGGGTGGGGGGGTGGGTAAGGTGTCCCTCAGCCTGAGCTGCACCCTCTCCAATCCAGGAACCTTTTTATGGGTTAGGCCTGCTCCCCGTGGTTCTCTGCTCTCTGTGGGGCCTGCCTGCTCCACACTGCAGTGATTGCCAAGCAGGCCGTGCTGGGTGCTGCCTGCGGGCTGTGCTTCACTGCTCCGGGATCACTGAGGCTGTGCTGGGTGCCGCCCATGGCTGCGCTTGCCTGCTCCCAGGTCACCACAGCGATGGCCAAGCTATCAGTCTCCACTGAAGTGATGACGTTAATTTGCATACCTACTTCTGATTGGCTGTGGTTGTCAAAAACCTGCACAATGTTAAATGTCAATTATGGTCAGTTTGCATATTTCTCTTTTATTAGTGCAGATGCATTTGACCTTTCCTATTACTACAGTGCCTTAAAGGACCCCAGAGGTACATAAGATTCTGAGTGTCCAATAGGGTTATGAGCCTTCGTTTACTTAGTCATTTTTCTCTTTTTATACATTTACATATTTTTCAGCTTTAACTTCTGTTCTTTAGTTAGAGTTTTGGACTTAGAAACAGGACATTGACAATTATCTAAAATAGTACAGAAATAAAAACTAAGTAACTATTTATAGTCCAACAGCTGGCAAACACTTACGGTGCTGCATACTTATTAGCCCGATCAGGAAACGGCTGCCCACAGAACTATTGAGGATCTGGGCTAAGATCAGATGTTAGTTAGTGCCTTATTTTATTTTATTTATTTATTTATTTTTTAAATATATTTTATTGATTTTGTACAGAGAGGAAGGGAGAGAGATAGAGAGTTAGAAACATCGATGAGAGAGAGTCATCGATCAGCTGCCTCTTGCACACCCCCTACTGGGGATATGCCCGCAACCAAGGTACATGCCCTTGACCAGAATCGAACCCGGGACCCTTCATTCCCCAAGCCGACGCTCTATCCATTGAGCCAAACCGGTTTCGGCTAGTTAGTGCTTTAAAAAAAGCTCAGTCTAGGTGGTCAGGTTGAGATCTGCTGAAATCAAGCTAAGATTTGATCAGAAGGTTCTGACAACTTTGAACTGATAAATTAGAAAACTCTTAGTAATGACCTCAATTTCTTTATTACAGTCAATACATTTCTATTGTAGAGAAAAGCTTTCCACCACCACCATTGCTCTTGTGTTCCCTCCACCCCCACATCTCCTAGCCTAAGCACTAGGGTAGGTTTCTGTATATATTCCAGGGCTTTATATGCAGATGTACATAACAGCATATTGCAGCAACAACTTTTAAGTACCCTAATAGTCACCAGGTATGTATTTAAAGTCATTTAAAGGTTTAAAGGGAAGTTTGAAATGCATTTGATAACACTTACATGTGGAATCAGCAAAAAACAAGCTCATAGAAACAGTGGAGTGGTGTTCACCAGGGGGAGAGGAGGTGGAGGAACTGGGGAGGTATTGCTCAAAGGGTATGACTTCCAGTTATAAGATTAACAAGTTCGGGGATCCGATGTTCAGCATGGTGTTTATAGCTATTAATACTTTATCATGAACTCGAATGTTGCTAGAGAATAGATCATAAAGGTTCTTACCACATAGAAATGGTAACTCTGAGAGGATGGAGGTGGCAGTGAATATGATGGTGGCAGTCATTTTGCAGTTTTATAAATATATCAATCTGTTGTGCACCTTAAACCTGCACAATGTTAAATGTCAGTTACTGGTATATCTCAATAACGCTGAAAAAATAATTTGAAAAAATATGGGTAAGTTTGTAGAATAACTTTCTGATTAGGATTTAAATGTTTAAATAAAAAAAATAAAAAATGTAGAATAAATATAAAATGTTCTATCTATAATAAAATACTACCCCTCCATAATTTTTGTACATAATTATTTATATTCTGAATTTTGTAGATTAAAGTTACTTTCTCACTGTTTTTTTAAAAGTGATATTCATGTTTTATTTAATATATACCGAGCAATATTCATTTTTATTTTTATAGGCCTGTTAGCTCTAAATATGTTTTAAAAGTGGATACTTGCCAATAGCCTTATTCCTACTAACAAAGATAACTTTATTTTTCTTAGCAAGGTCAGCGTTGGACCCAGCTACACGTTGTAAGTATTTCATCCCAATAATTTGCAGATGATTTATTCTAATTTTTTTCTTAGGCATAAGAGAACTTATATTCGAACAATGGAGATATTTCAGTGTGAGCAAAAACTGTTTTAGAAATTGCTTTTTGAGGTTACAAGGATGATATTCGATTGGATAGCCCACTATTCTGGGTATTTACTCATAATGAATATCGTTTTTATTAATGTTTTTTTAGTTTTAGTATCGTAAGCACAGGAAGTATGTAAAAGGAGAACTAGCACTTGAGCAGATTATTCAGCAATGCGTTAGGCTTTTTAGTTTGCAACCATTTATTGTGCATGTATGCACTGAAAATGCAAAGTAACAATTCAAGCCTATCCCTCCAGCCTGAATTTAAACCATAAACTTAAAAATAATTAGATAATATATATTTACCCTCATCAAGATCATATTATTTGATTCATTTATGTCCATTATTAGCTTGTTTCCTCAGTGCTTTTGTTTTATTTATTTAGAAGCTCAGGCTCTTTGGAACCCCCAGAAAAAAAAGATCCTAGCATGTGTTTTAAGATGATGTATCTCGGTGATGTAAATTCTCTTGTAGTTTGAGATTTGAAACAAACTGATTATAAAGTCCATTAACATTGTGGTTTTTTAAAAAATCTGTTTTCTTTTCCAAAGCTACAAAACCTCCCAGATACAAATGTGGGATCTCGAAAGCTTGTCCTGAGAAGCATTTTGCTTTTAAAATGGCAAGCGGAGCAGCCAATGTGGTGGGACCCAAAATCTGCCTGGAGGACAACGTGTGAGTGTCAGCCCACCGAGGTGCTGTGAACCCCTGAGCCTGGTGCAGGGGTCTTTTGGGAAATGTATCGGGCTTGCTTTTACTAAAGAAAAGTGATTTCCATTTTTATTACACGTGTTTTCCCATGCTTTTAAGGAACCTTTAAAGTTCTTAAATTTCATATTAGAGAGTGACATATTTATCCAGGTTCACAGACAGATGAGGGGTTTCTTAAGTGAATTCTCTAAATCTGTGCAATTCCATATTAGAGCCATAGACCTGTGTAGCTATTTAATTTGGATTTTTTTAAAAAAATATTGACTTTTTACAGAGAGGAGGAGAGAGGGATAGAGAGTTAGAAACATCAATGAGAGAGAAACATTGATCAGCTGCCTCCTGCACACACCCCCACCGGGGATGTGCCCGCGACCAAGGCACATGCCCTTGACCGGAATCGAACCTGGGACCCTTCAGTCCGCAGGCCGACGCTCTATCCACTGAGCCAAACCAGTTTCGGCTAATTTAGATTCTTAAATCATATGGAAAAGTTACTTCATTTAAGAGAATTAAAATAGAAAGTTCTGTTCCTCGGTCACACTGGCCACACCTCAACTGCTCAGTAGCCACACATGGCCTGCGCCTACTGGCTTGAGCAGCATAGAGAGTATTTGCATGCTGCAAAGTCCTATTTCGGCAGCGTTCAACCTTTTCATCTCACGGCACACACAAGCTACTGAAGTTCTGCAGCATACCAAAAATAGGTTTTGCTGATCTGATCAGAAAAAATAAAAAGTGATTTTGGTTCGTTCACTCCAGTCAGCTATTGTTGTGTTGGCTGTAGTCATTTTTCACTTGACAACCTAAGGAAAAAAGGGCAGTGCCCTAACTAGTCAGATAGTGCATGTTGAAAAGTGCTGTCCTATTTGATAGCCATGCCCTCGCTCATGCACACTGTCTTACACACCAGCACCTTTCATTTTAAGAGTTAGAACGCTGCCTGTTGAAGTGTGAGATCATCAATTACAACCTCAAGCCCATGGGGCACGGACCTGCTTGCCACTGAGCTGACTGGTTCCCTGTATCAGCACGCTGTACAAAGGATTGTTTTCAGGTTTTCAGTCCCTACCTCTTTGTCAGCTGCCGTTGGTTCCGGTTCCTGCCTCGGAAGTTACAAACCTGTTTTGGCTGCTTTGGATCTGCTCTGGCCTAGAAAATTAGATATATGAACTTATTTGAACTCATCTGTCTGACAAATGTGCCATTAATGATGATAATAAAGAGTGAGGTAATTTTATAGATAGAGGGGGAGGAAACGAGGCTGTTCCTCCCAGCATTTCATGTGTCTTTTCTTTTTAATAGAGAAACTTTTAAAAATATTTATCTTAGTCCCTTTTTCAGTTAGCTACGGGCAGGTCCTAGAGTCTCTTACAATAACACTTTCCTTGTACAATTAAAGGCTTGATCTAGGTGATCTTTAAGGTCCTGACTCGTGTGCTTTCTTTTCCCTCATGATAATCCATTGCTAATTTGTTGTCTTCTGATTTCTCATTATAATAGTCCTGTTTTACTGAATTGTAAGGGAAAAAAAAAGCACTTGGATTTCAGTTTGTAGAGCTTATCTATAATAATAAAAGGGTAATATGCTAATTAGACCGATGTCATTCCGGACATCCTTCGTGACGAAGCTGGGGAAAGAGGGAAGCCAGCCTGGGTCCTGGGTGCCTGGAGAGAAGCTGGTGCCCACAGCCGGGGGGAGGAAGGCCTACTCTTGCATAAATTTTCATGCATCAGGCCTCTAGTCTATACTAATAAAAGGGTAATATGCTAATTGGACTAGGAGATCTTCTGGACATCCTGGACAAAGCCATGGTGACAGAGCTGGGGCAGAGTTGGTTAGGGGAGATCAGGCCAGGAGGGGAGGGCAGATGGGAGTGATCAAGCCTGCGGGGGTGGCTGGAGGAGAGGCATGCCAACTGGGGGAAAGCAGGTCAACAGTGGGGGTCAGTTAGGGTTAATCAGGTCGGCAGGGAAGGGCAGTTGGGGGCCAGCAGGCTGACAGGCAGAGTGGTTAGGAGCCAGTGGTACCGGATTACGAGAGGGATGTCCCAGATTGGAGGGGTGCAGGCTGGGCTGAGGGACACTCCACTGCCCCCCCCCCCCCCCCCCCAGAGCATGAATTTCGTGCATCAGGCCACTAGTATTAAATAATATCCTGCCTGTTAACAGAATGTTCCTATCTTTTTTTTTTTTTTCTATCTTACTTTGTTTGGCTAGAAAGGCCAAAGTTTGATTCTAAATAATAGGAAGAGAGTTCATGCCTCACTCATTGTATTGAATAGATTGGCTTTGGAGATCTCCTCTACCCACTTGAAGTAGGTATGTAAGCTTTAATGCAGAGAGAGATCAAACTTGTTTCTCTGTCCAGAACCACAGGTCAGAAAGAAAAGAACATGTGGGCAGTAGAGTTTGGTTCTAGCAAGGTGGGAAGCTCAGGTGGAATTTGTGCTTCAGTTTCTCTCCCTGTAAAATTGAGGCAGGCCACTTACTCATCTTCCTTCCAGGAATTGTCCTGCCATTCCCACGAGAGGTTAAATAATTGATGGGATTTTATAGCGAAGCCTGTGCCATGAAATCGAATCCCTGGTAAAGGCTGGCCAGGCATGCCTGGTGGAGACCCTGCAGGGACTGGCACTTCTTCCAGTTCCTTATGTTGCTAGACTGGTGGTTTTTCCAATAAGAAGTGAAAGGAATAGTGAGTTTTCTTAGCTTGATTCATTCACTTCTTCATTAAGTGATGATGGAGCGTCGTCCCCGCTGAGCTGGAGCTCACAGCTGGTGGGTCTGTATTAGGATTTCCTAAACAGCAGGAAAAGCAAGCATCACCCGTGTGGGGAGTGGCAGGGCTGGTGGGGGTCAGGTGACTGAGATGAGGGTGAGGTGTCCAACTTCAGATCCAGTGAGTCAAGAGGAGTTTAGTCTGAGAACTGAAGGGTAAAAGGAAGACAGCCAGGTGAAAAGTAGGGGAAGAACATTCTAGACAGAAGGAAGGACATGCTCAAAGGCCCTAGGGTGGGAAAGAGCCAGGCGAAGGGGAAGGGATTTAGAAGTTGGAGGCAGGGCACATGCCTGGGTTGCTGACTCGATCCCCATCGGGGTGCATATGAGAGGCAGTTGATCCATGTTTTGCTCTCATATTGATGTTTCTCTTTCCTGCCCTTCTCTCTCTCTCTAAAAAAAAATAAAAATTTAAGTATATGATTGTTGAACCACTAAGCTGTACACCTTAAACCAGTGATTTTCAATCCATGTGCAGCATAAATTTTTAAAACATATAATACCTGACTGTTTAATCAGGGGCACTGATTTCTTTTCCCTTATCAAATTAAAAAGTGGCAACAGCCAACACAACAGCCGTCTGGTGTGAATGCACTGTCTGAACCATCAATATAAAGGTCATGTAAAAGAGTTGCATCTTATTGCATAATAGGATTACATCTGATTGATTATTCTTGGTACCAGAAATCCTTATATACAAGTGTGGGCACCTGGTTTTTTAAAAAGTCACTTTGGAGCAAAAATTACTATTATTATTATTTCTGTAAATCTATTAAACTCGTACCTTTTTTTTTTTTGTCACATTGGCACAAAATATATATTTTTTTGTGTGCTGCAGCATTTTAGTAATTAGTTTATGTGTGGAGATGAAAAAGTTGAAAATTGCTCCCTTAAACAATACAGAATTTAAAAACCATAAAAAGAAAAAAAAAAAGTAGAGCCAGGCCCGCAGGCACTGTCGGCCATGCCGGAAAGGACTGAGGTATGGTTCTAAGTGCTTTGAGAAGTTGTTGATGGTTGAACTGACATGTCATGAGTTCATTTTTGTTGACTACAGTGCTGTGACTGCTGCCCGCAGTGGTCAGAGGAGGGAGGAGGGACGGCCAGGCCCAGGGCTTCCCAGCTCTTTGACACAGGCTTCGCGTGTACACGCACTGAAATATGTCAGTAGATGTTAAAAATACAGAAGTGGACATTTTTATATTTTCCTAACGTGTCCGAGCACCTGCAGCTCACCGTGGAGACTGTTACTCCGGACGAGTGCTTCTCCGTCGGCTGGCTCTGCTCCCCAGGGGGCATTTGTCAAGACCTGGCAGCTTCGGGGCTGTCACCGTGTGGAGGTGCTACTGGGAGGAAGGGGCTGGGGCGCTCGCTCTTAATTTTCTCACGTTGCCCAGGACCGGCCCCTCCACAGGAAGGATCAGGCCCAGGATATCACAGACCGAGTTTGAGCAATCCTAATGCAGACCCAGGACAGCAGTTGCAAATGGGTTCCTGTGTCATGGTTTAAAGCACATGTGTCAAACACAAGGCCCGCGGGCCAAATCTGTCCCGCCAGGCCTTGCAATGTGGCCCGAACCGCGCTGTCATCACTGCACTCCGCTGCGTTTCCATCACAATGACAGTTTATGACTGTTCAGTAAACCATTCGGCCCGCGATTTAGGCTGGATTTTAGATTTTGGCCCCTTCTCTGATTGAGTTCGACACCCCTAGTTTAAAGGCTAAGTAGATGCAGTTGAGATATATATTATGGAGATGAAGGTGGATTTCATTAGCTAGAAGCACAAAATCCTGGGTATAAACATAAGGTGTCTCACAACAAAATTGTAGCTTTTTTTACTTTTGCATTTAAAGAACCCATAGAATTTATTGCAGACATAAGCTCATTTGGTTTTAGTTTATGTGAAGTTTATATTAGGAATAATACTTTGCTTATTTTATGTAATCTTCATATTTGGTATAGGAATATATACTAGACTGCTTTGAGGGACTTTTGTTTTTTCCATCAAGGAGTCGGATAGTATTTTTGTTTTGAGTGCCAAGAAGTAAAGAATAATTATTTAAAATTCAACCATTTAAAAATGTAAAAAACATTTTTAAAAAATATATTTTTTTGATTTTACACAGAGAGGAATTGAGAGGGATAGAGAGTTAGAAACGTCAATGGAAGAGAAACATCGACCAGCTGCCTCTTGCACACCCCCTACTGGGGATGTGCCCGCAACCAAGGTACATGTCCTTGACCGGACTCGAACCCCGGACCCCTCAGTCCCGCCCCGCAGGCTCTATCCACTGAGCCAAACAGGTTTCGGCATAAAAAATATTTTAAGTTCATGGGAAATAAAATAAAAAATAAAAAAAACAAACACCCATCATGGCTAGATTTGTACCATGAGCTGTAGTTTGTTAAACCCAAATCTAAACTAATCATTTTAAGTAGTAGCTGGAATATATAGTTAGATATTTGAATAAAAACTACCATATATTTGAAGATGTAGACTCTATATGGTCATATAAATATTTACTTTTGCTTAGAGATATGGAGAGGTAGGGGAGTGGGGAACCTTCATATTCATGGAGGATAAAAGAAAATTTCAGCTTGTTAATAAGAGTGAGCACTAACATTGATTTAATATCTTCAGTTGTAGGTTTCCTGAATAAATTTGTTTTCAAAAATTGGTGAGCTTCTGCCCTCTTGTGGGAAGCTCATGTCATAGCGCTTCTGTGTTGCCTTTATTTCTTAGCTCAGACAGACACAGCTCCATAGTCTGAGATGATCTCTTCTTGGAGAAGACACTGTGACAGTTACTAATGTAACAAGTTAATCACAGCTGTTACCTTTTAATATTAATAATATAGCTCACTTATATATTTCTGAAAGAAACAGAGCAAATGCATTTTGAAACTTCCCTTCCTATATTCCCACCAGTAATATGAGAGAGACAGTTTCTTTGTATTTTGCCAGCATTTGGTGTGTCACTTTTGAGTTTTATTTTAGCTGTCCTAATAGGTATGTAGTGTGACATCTCAGTTAATTTTCTATTCCTTATGGCAATAATGTTGAAATCTTTTGTGTTTTGTTTCCCCCCAACCCCCATCTGAATATCCTCTTCAATTAAATATCTATTCGTGTCTGTTTCCCTTTTTGTTTGGGTTGCTTGGGGTTTTTTGCTGCTTAGTTTTGAGGGATAGAACTGCACTCATTCATCAGTTGCAACCATAGGTTAACCATAGATAAGAGGTCTGTGAAAATCACTGAGCACATTCAGTGAGAAATCAGTTGGCTATGTGGAGGTACTAAGGTATTAGAGATTTTATTATTTGTGAAATTATGCATCCCATATGTTTTATGTCAGTAAAACTTACAACAAATTTATATATCTATGTATATATAGAAGTATAAATATCTAGACACGTGTGAGTGTGTGCATGTTCATCTTGTATACTCCTCTTCAACTTCAAGCTAGTAGTTAAATAGTGAACAGCACACTACTGGGAGTATTACTGTTACCTTAAAGTTACCCACGATTTCGTTTAATAAATCTAATTGAACAGACCAAACCGACAACAAGCAGATGTCTCACTGGTGCCTTCCCTGTCACGCATCATTGTTTGTATGTGAGATGCCCGTGGGCGCAGCTCCCTCAGGTGTGACCACAAATGACTGGTTAGGTGCGGCCATTATGTGCATACAGTTTACTTCTGAGTGTAGAGAGCCTTTATCCTGACAGTCACGAGGCGCATGCGCACAGTTAGGTGACACACTCGTGGAAGAATGCTCCCCACTCTTCTTGCTCTCCGATTGTGGACGGTTTGGGGAGCATCTCACTTCTACGTTCTCGTCACACTCGATGTTGCAGGAATGGTGTGGCAGGGGTCCTCAAACTTTTTAAAGTGGGGGCCAGATCACGGTCCCTCAGAGAGCTGGAGGGCCGGACTATATGAACTACTAATTCCTACTGTAACACCTCGGCTGCGCTCACTGCCCAAAAAACCTGGCGGGCCAGATCAGACTCCTCTGCGGGCCGCATGTGGCCCGCGGGCCGTAGTTTGAAGACGCCTGGTAGAGGACGTGCGTGGTGTCCACGTGTTGTTAGGATTTCTAACGGGGTTTCATAGTCTGACGCAGAGCAGCCAGAAATAGCCTAGTCTTCTGCCCTAATTCTTCTGTGAAATGTCATTTATTTAAGAACATTGCTGTAAAGACGTTGGGCTGTTTACATAGATAATATCCCTAGTCTTTTTTTGTTTTTGCATAATTTTATTTTTTGAGCTATGGATATATGTTTATACAATATATAATTCCAAATTTGTCTTGACTTTTCCCCCTGCAGTCTAATGAGCGGTGTTAAGAATAATGTTGGAAGAGGGATCAACGTTGCCCTGGTAAATGGTAAGAATCCCTGCGTTAGCTTTGGGATGTATTCAATGGTGTTCACATGCTCCTCAGAAAAATATGCTCTAATATAAGGGGTCAGGTCAGAAAGTGCCATTCTTGACACCAAAGTCCCACCCCCTTCCTACTGCCCTAAACAAACGCAGCTGTGGGGGGTGAGGGCGGGGAGACTGTGTGTCTGAGGGTGTGTGACACGCCGTGTTGGAAGCAGCAGCTTCCGTGGCAGCCTGTGGACAGCTTCTCGTGGGATTGACAGGATTCACCCAATCTAGCATTAAACCGGTGAATTCTCGCTGCAAATGCTGGAATCCTCTAACGTGTGAAGGTAGATTGACATGAATGAGAGGGCGTAAAAGACAGAGGGTGATGGATACAGGATGGGGTTGGGCGAAATGAAAAGTAAGAAATAATTTTCTATAATAGTATTTGTCCACATTCTCCTGGCAAATTCACTAGATAAATACATTTATTGAATCCTGAACACATTGAGTGTTCTTACAAAGTCAAATCTGAAAGCACAAATCCGTGAAGTGCGGGCCCTGCATGCTAGTCTCTGTCTGGCTCCATGGCCCCGTGAGGCTGTGAGGGGGTTAATACCAGCCCCCCTGACGGGCCATCACGTAGGGAAAGATTTTACTTCCTTCACAACGAGAGCTACATTTTTTGTGTTTCTACCTTCTTCAGTTTCTTAGTAAAAGGTTCCATACTGATTTGTCTATTTAATTGTTAAAAAAAATAGATCTTGAAAGGGAACTGAACGTACGTTTTATAAAAAGATGTCTAACTTGGAATCGTCTGTAATCTGTTGTGGTTTCTGTGTGCTGCTTTTGAGAAAGTCCTACCCAAAATTACCCTTTAGAAAAATAGTTCAGGTTTTAAAATGATTTCTTAAAACAATTTATGTCAGCCATTGACTAAGATGCTTGTTTTATACAGTAGAGTATATTTCAGTTGCATAATTCGATATGAATTCAATCTCTTTTAGGAAAAACGGGAGAAGTATTAGACACTAAATACTTTGACATGTGGGGAGGAGGTAAGTTTGAATAACAAGTGACCGTTCTGTTGCTAGCACTGCCTTCTTTTTTCTTTTCCTTAATCCTCACCCAAGGATTTTTCCATTTACATTGATATTTAGAGAGAGTAGAAGGGAGGAGAGGAGAGAAACATCGATGTGAGAGAGACACATTGATCTATTTGCTTCCCGTACATGTCCCACCCGGGACGGGGGATCAAACCCTCAACCCAGGTATGTGCCCTTGACGAGGAATCAGGCCTGAGACACTTTGGGGCGCAGACCAACCCTCTGACCATTGAGCAACACCGGCTAGGGCTAGTACTGCCTTCTTAATCACCTCAGTATAATGGAGCCCATTAATGAGAGCATAATGGCACCATTAAAAAAAAATCCTCACCGAAGATGTGTTCCCGCTGGTTTATAGAGAAAGGGGAAGGGAGAGGGAAACATTGATGTGAGAGAAGGACATTGATTGGTTGCCTCCCATACATGACTCACCTGTGAATCAGTCGGCAACCTTGGCATATGCCCTGACCAGGAATCGAACCCACAACCCTTTGGTGCTCCAGCTACCTGAGCTACCTGGCTGGGGCCATTATGGCATCATTTTTGTGCTCATTTGCTTCACTTTCTTTTCACTAAATATCCAGTTATCGGTCATATTGTAAATTGTTTTGTGTTTTAAAACAATTGTGGAGTATAGTTAAGAAAAATGATATAAAAATTAAGATTGAAAGCATCTGAGTCCTGTTTTCTGCAGGACAGCTCATCAAAGCTTTGGGCTCCTTTAGGTGTCTGTCCAAAATTGTAAAAAAGAGAAAGGAATTTGAAGATGGCCATAACAAAGCGTTTTGAACTGACTGAATTGATCTTCTTTACATAGGGTTTTTGTCTGAAAAGTAAACCGTAACCAGGATTATTGTTACAGTAGCTGGGTGTCTGAGAGAAGGAACAGAGCTGTCTTTCTGGCGCACAGGCCAGACCCCTTTTATTGAATATTAGGAGGTCCCTTCGAGAGCAGGCGGCAGCCCCTCACCAGCGTGCAGAGACAGGAGCTGGCTCCGTGATGCAGGATGCTCCTTCCCCCCAAAAAAGAAAAGATTTCTCCCTCAATTTTGAAGGAAGACCGCACCGACTTACCTTTTGCTGCTTCTCTAAGTTGATGTGGGAAATTTACCAGCTCAAGGCTGCTTTCTGCACCTCCCCATCCATCCCCTAACATGGCCAGGAAGCCAACAGAGTTTTCAGGCAATTCAGCTTTCCTAATATTTCTTTAGCTTTAACAAGAGGCCACGTATTATTTATTTTTAAATGAGATTAGGAGAACTTTTCATAGCCGTGGAAACTGTATAAACTTAAAAACGCTGCCATCGATGTTAGTTCTAAAGCACAACTGTTTTCACCATGAATTATTACACAGAAACACGCCAGCAGAATGGGACGGGAAGCCCCGGTCCCCATCACAGGTGGATTCATTGCTGCTGAAAATACGCCTCCGGTTAAGAAATAGTTGCAGCTTACTGCCATTTTTGCATTTAAATAGAAATGATTTGTTAGCTGCTCTACATATTTTCAGCATCAAGACTGCTATTATAAAATACAACCAGCTAGAGAAAATCTTAGGAGTCTTTGCTATGGAAAGAAACCGCAAATTTAAAGTAACCTAATCTATATTCTTTCCATTTGTTTATGCTAAGTAGATCTGCCCGGAAGATCCCTGAAATCGGGGTGTGTGTGTGTGTGTAAACATTTGTATAATACTTTGAAGTTACAGACCTTTTGCGAATTGAATAAAATGTGTGTATCCTCTTTTTAGAAAAGTACCCAGACAAACGCATTTACATGAATGGAAGAAGTTCATGAGCCTTTCTCCTGCTCCCTGACTTGCTTACTTCAGATCATAAGCTCATTTAGCCCCTGGAATATCTGTGCAATGACATTTAGGATGAATCAGGATTGACCATTTTAAGTTCATGGTGGAACAAACTTAATGTTAAGTTTAGGAACAAACTTAATTCTTCAATATGTTCATAACATTTATCTTTCTTTTGGTTACTTTACATTAGAACTTATTAACTTATGAACTTAATATTTTATCTTATTAACTTTACAGATTATCTTGATGGTTACTCGGTCATTAAAAAATCCTCAATCTTTTCTTTTTCTTCAGACGTGGCCCCATTTATTGAGTTTCTGAAGTCCATACAAGATGGAACAATCGTCTTAATGGGAACGTATGATGATGGAGCAACCAAGTATGTAAACTTCCAAAGCTGAACAACTTTTTCAGCTATATCTTATAACTATAAAAGTAATACATTTTTATTGAAAAAATTTCTAGGTAAGAAGCGAGTTCCAGATAAATACTATTAACCTTTTTTTTAGTTTGTTTCCTTCTATCTTTCTGTGTATTCGTTGTGTATATGTTATTGTGAGAGAAGGATCACATTATGCGTAAAGTTTGTTCTCTTTTATGTTATTTTTTAACAACTTTAAGTTTTCCCTTATATCAACATTCTTTGATAGAATTTTCATGATTGATCCACAGTTGACCCTTCTTTATTTAAGAGATCCCTGTTGGAAGAATTGGGCTGGGGTGGGAGCCAGGTAAAGGGGGGGAAGTGGAGGACATCTATAATAAACTCAACAATAAAATAAAATTTAAAAAATATATATATATTTCATTGATTTTTTACAAAGAGGGATAGAAAGTTAGAAAAATTGATGAGAGAGAAACATCTATAAGCTGCCTTCTGCCCACCCCCCACTCCCCTGCTTTACTGGGGATGTGCCTGCAACCAAGGTACATGCCCTTGACCAGAATTGAACCTGGGACCCTTGAGTTTGCAGGCCAATGCTCTATCCACTGAGCCAAACTGGTTAGGGCAATTTAAGAAAGAAAAAAAAAGTTCCCTGTTATTGCCAAGTGATTTTATTCATCTTTAATTATGTCCTTAGAGAAAAGTTCTAAGTGGAATTAATTGTGAAAGAATAAGTGTGATCTATTTTCCATAAAGTTTAATAGATAGTAGTTTGTAACTTTTACTTAAAATTATAGAGGTTGTAAGAATTTGGAAAAGATAGAAATGCACAAAGAAGAAAACAAGATACAGTTCATGTCACTACTCAAAGATAACTATTGATAATACTTTATCTCTCCAGATTTTTCAATGCACATATTTTCTTTATCTTAAACGTTTGGAATAGTAGCATTTTTTTAATGTGTTGAATACTTTCCCATATCATTGTGTATTTTTTCAAATTTGTTCATGTATGCCCAGTATAGGTTTTAAATATGTGTCATGACTTAAAATCTCTTTAATAATATACCTACTACTGAACTTTAGCAAAAAATACGCTGTCGTAAATTTTTAAAAAATATATTTCCTTAAGATAAATGTTTGTGTTTTGTTTTTTTTGTTTTCTGTTTTTTTTTTAAGTAAGGTTATTGAATTAACGAAATGAGCACAATTTTTAAAAGGATTTCTAAAGTTTGGGCCAGTTTTATATGTCTTTTAGAATCAAAAGTTCCCAAACCTGAAAGGTTTTAGAAAGGAATCTTGTTAATATGCCTTCTCTTGTAAATGGTCTTCTGACCATTCGGTTTGATTCTCCTTGATTTGTAAGAGCCCTTTATGTATTAAGGATATTAAACATCATATTAGATACAGAATTTTGCACTTATTTGCTTTTAATTTTGTTACTTTATAGTGCTTTTTGACTTTCAAAAGTTTAGACTGATTTTTATGTAGTCAAATCTGTGGATTTTCCTTTTTAGTTTTTCTACTTTTATACTTAGGACCTATGTTTCCATCTCTAAATTAGATATTTAGTAGATCTTTCTCTCCCAGTAACTTCCCGTATGTGTTTAAAATCCACTCCTCGCTCTCCCATAGTGACTTACACCGCCCCAGAGGTGGCGGCATCCACAGAGAAGTTCCACCCGTTGTGATGCTCTTTCAAATGTAGATTGGACTTTGTTTTTACAGTTCTGTTCATCCATTTATTCCTGCTTCAATAAGACACTTTCAATTTTTAAAATTACTGTTTTATAAAAATAAGTTAATACTTTCTGGTGGGGCCAACTCCCACCTACTAATCTTCTTTTTCAAAAAACAGTATTTCCTATGACACTTTTTTTCAGATGATTTTTGTCAAAAGTTTAAATATATTTCTTACAGATTTTAATTGAAAGGGTTTTTATTTACAAATTCCGCACAGGAATATGGCATGTCTTTCTATTTTTTGATTTCTTATACATATATGTGATGTGTGTGTAGCCACATTACTGCTGACTTCCACCAAGAGAGCAGTGCCTCTTAGGAACGTTTCTAAGCCTAAGCCGTTTCACTGACCTTGTGCCGTTTACCTAACTGCGCTGAAGAGTTGTTAAATTTATTGTTCAAATGTTAAATAAAACTGGCATATTCAACCATTGCTATTTTCCTACGTAGAACTACATAGAAAAAAACAAAAAGTAACTTTTGCTACTTGCTGTTGCTGAGAAATGAGGCTATTACATGGATAATTGATGAGATTTTAAAGTGTGTTTTTAAGCCTTACTTTTCTGAATCGACATACATGTCTGCTCCTTTGCACAGTTGTTCGTTATTATACCCGATGAACATCAGCCCTGTTCCCCTCCTGCTAATAACAAGCTATAGACATGCCTAAGAACAGGCAAGGTGTGTGTGTGGGTGTGTGTGTGTGTGTGTGAGAGAGAGAGAGACACTCTTTATTGGCGGTCATTCATCCAAGGCACCAAAAGCAGTCTCAGGCCAGGGTTCACCCTCTGGGTGAAAGTTGTACAGCTCCTTTTGGAGAGAACGCCAAGGCACTCAGCATCATGCTCAGCGAAGCCTGAACGGATGGCGTCTTTGAAGTCAGGGCTCTTTAAGGCCAGATTCTCCAGCAGTTTCTCTGTGAGTTCCTCCGCTGAACTGCTCACTCGTCATTTCTCTATTTGAAATAAAATGTAAAATCTGTTCTTGTGTGAATGTTATGTTCTCAGGGTTGCCTCTCTAAATTCTGCCTGAGAGTCTTTTGCTGGGATAAATGGAACAATAAAACAATAAATATGTTCCCCCCAATCATTTGGTACTTCAAGTATTTGAAGCTCAATGGCATGCCTCTTAGTTTTCTCTTCCCCGGCTCAGTAGGAAGGCTCTTTAACCTTTTATCGAGTGGTATTCTAGGTCCTCCTGGCTGCCTTCCCGGGGCCTTCTCTGATTGATTATCTTAAACTGAGTGCCCAAAGGGAGCAGTGTGTTCCAGATGTGGTCTGGCCCGCCCAGCGCCCCGTGCAGATGCTAGCTCACCATGTGTGGAGATCACATTTCTCTGAATATTCATGCAGACTCCTATTAGTTTTCTTTAAACACATCACATTTTTGGCTCATGAGCTTTGGTCAAGTTAAATTCTCAATCTTTTCATTTCATCTTAGGCTTTTGTGTTTTAACCAGAGCCAAGTCAGGTCTCTCCAGTCAGAACTTGATTTTATTTCATCTAAATGAAGGACTTTATCGTCATGTGTCCTTGTTAAGTTTAACTTCGCTCACTTGGGCCCAGTTGGCTTTGATTCTGACATTTGTCCTAGGAGGTTTCGGTGATGCAGGCTTTGTGTTCTCTCCAAAGTGGTTCTTCTGTCTAAATCTAAGTCATTGATAAAAGTGCTTGCCCGGCGGCCTCCTGCGAGGGGCGTGCCCATCAATCACAGGCAGAGGCTGCTTTCCGAGCTGCCAGGGGGCCCTAATGGCCATGCCATCCAGCTGCTGTTTTAATCTTAACTCGAGAATCTCAAATTATCCATGTAAGATCCTCAATTCTCAGCAAAAGCAAGTAACAAGTTAACTTTTTTATTTTATTTTTTTAAATAAGAAAAGCCTGTTCTATCCAGGAAAATGGGAGTGGTTGAATATGCCAGTTTTATTTAACCTTTGAACTCTATACATTGGTGACACATTTTTAGTTGAATTAGGCAAAAGGCACAATGTCAGTGAAACTATTTCACTTAGAAACATTAGTAAAACGGCACTGCCCTGCTCTCTCAGCGGAAATCGCCTATTTTCTGAGACTTCCCAGGTGCCCTGGGAATGGATGAACTGAGCTAACGGCAGTGCCCCGTTCTGCCGCCCGAAACCTCCTCACAAGCGGAGTGGTTGAGATCACAGTGACTTGATTATTTATTCCTCCCTCCTCTGTGTCCCCACCTGTTGCTGGTGGAATTCCCGAGGCCTTGAGGTATCTCGAGATGCTTTATTGATGAGGTACTTCTTAATAAAACGAGCTTAAGATATAATTGCAAGATCTCATGTCTTTTGTCACTAAAGAATTCAAATAATAGGAAGTAATGGGGTGCTCACGTATAAGGTGTGAAAATGTTGAGTCACTATATTGTATACCTGAAACTCATATAACTATATAATATTGTATAGTATACTTAAGTAAGAAAAACTTCAAACTTACTCTAAAAATTTTTTGTGTGTTTTCTTATTTAAGCTGCCGTTTGCTCATTTACCTCGTTATGGGTTAGAGGCCCTGGGTGAGTTGGGATTCTAAACTGACTCGGTGCGCTGTGTTATTGTTATTCTTTCCCCCTCAGACTCAACGATGAGGCGCGGCGGCTCATCGCGGACCTGGGCAGCACGTCCATTACCACCCTGGGCTTCAGAGACAACTGGGTCTTCTGTGGCGGCAAAGGCATTAAAACAAAGAGTCCTTTTGAGCAGGTTAGTGTCTTAGGTTTAATCATCGATGGACAAAGCCAAACGTGTGGGATGGTGTGGTAAATATTTTAATCCCAGTTATTTGAAACTTGGGTAAAGCCGCCATTCGGTAGGGTCATGTATTTTTTGTAAGTCCTGGGGAATTTTTTTCCTACATGGCAATGCACTGGCATATGAGTACTTGTGCCTGAAGCCTTTTAGGAAGCATTGGTTATTAAAGATTTTAATTGAGCTTTTGATATAATCAGTTAAGTTTGAAAACACTTTAGAAGTTAGTAGAATGTAAACTTCACAAGTGATCCTTTACAAAAATCTGCAATGCTTAGTTCTTTCAGCGGGTTATGTGAAGGTCTGCCACTGCATGCCAGGCCCCATTTAATAGCTTGAACAATTTCTTAAATCCTTACCCGAGGAAATGTTTTTATTGATTTTAGAGAGAGAGGAAAGGGAGAGGGAGAAACATCGATGTGAGACAGAAACACCAAACTGTTGCCATACATGCCCTGACTGGGATCGAACCTGCAACCTGGGTATATGCTCTGACCGAGGACCTTTTTGGTGTACGGGACAGTGTTCCAACCAGCAGAGCCACCTGGCTTGGGCTTGAACAGTAATTCATAGGATCTCCTTGTTGACACGAGTGTTAGTGAAATGAATGCACTAAACTGTGCTATTGCAGATAAGCAATCAGCAGAGTTTTTTAAAGCTGTACTGTGATTGTGTCCGACAGCACATAAAGAACAATAAGGACACAAACAAGTATGAAGGCTGGCCGGAGGTTGTGGAGATGGAAGGATGCATCCCCCAGAAGCAAGACTGACGCGGAGAAGATGAGGGGCACGCGCTGTCCCTGCCACTGAGGACCACAGCAGAGAACCCACATGTACATATTTTAAGAGCATGCAGCCATCTCGGCGTGTGCACGAGCATTCTCTTTGGATACCATGATTATTTATTGCTAACGTAAATAGATACTGTAAATAGCCATCAGAATGGTCAAATCACTGTACCATTTCTGAGCACATTCCTCTAATAGTACATCTAGCTGCTATGGAAATGACATCTTTCAATTCTAAAAGCGTAATCTATCGATAACTGAACAGATTGAGAAAAATATACTGAAATATATACTGGTTGCTGTGAAAATCTATCACGGAATCATATGGGCTTAAGGGAGGAGACTTTGTTTTCTTTTATATATATATGTATACTACTTTTTGATAGTAGTATCTTTTAAATTATATCTAGCTAGTTGTGTGTGTAGTGTTACTTTACAGTCTGGCTCTCTTGATGTACCTCTTTTCTTAGTCTTTCTCTTCCCTTTCCAAAAAACCTAAAAATAAAATGATAGGAAAACTTAGATATGTGAAAAGCACAATAAAATTCTTTTTTTAATGTACACAGTAACAAATAAATATATAAATGCAGATGGCTTTCAGGACTAGCCTGCTGGGAGACTTGTGTTAGCAATGTGAGTAACTTGATTTTGTATAAGCTATTCAGAGTGAGGGGGGAGGTGGCACTCCCCAGAATTGGGGATCCAGGCCACACCCCTTCCCCAGCCTGATTGGGCCATTCAGGACAGCACGTCAGAGCCGCACTGGCATCTGTTTCTCTTTCCTTGTTATCAGTGTTGACAAGGTGTTTTGGAACGAGGCATGCTTTAATATCACAATAATATTGATTTGTAAATCAAAAAATTAATTTTGTGTTTACTTCATTTAACTTTATAATACCAGTTTTTGCCAGATATATAGCAACATATTCAGAAAAGACCTAATTACTGAATGGACTGATATTTACAAAATAATTTTATTGGATGCAAAACTACTCTACACACAATTCTAGATAAAAATACAGAGATCTAACTTTTTTTTTTGTTAACTTCAGATGTTCACTAATTGACTTAAGTCTTTTGTTTAGGTTATTAAATACTAATTGTGTCTGAAGTATCTTAAACTGGGACATAAAATTAATGCTCAGACTGCCATTCACAATAAAAGACGGCATTTAAATTTGAATCTAAATTTCAGATGACTTGTGTAACAAAACTAGAAGCAATATTTTTTTATTTTGCTGTCAACAAGTTGGAAGCTGTTCAACTACTTCTTAAATACTAATGAGGTTTGGGGTACTGTTTCTTCCCTCAAATAGTGTAATTCATGAATAAATGCACCTTACAAGTTCAACAATTTTTGTAAACTTCAGATTTTGGTGCTTATATGCTAAATCATATTTGGCATATATATTCTGACATTTAAAAGACTTCCCTCAATTCTATAAAAAAAAAATAAAAATAAAAATAGGTGTCTTACAGTTCCAGGGATTGTGAAATGTTGCATTTTTAAAAAGTTATAATGAAAATAAATACTCATGGTTTTCCATTGTGAATGTTTTTGTATTATCTGGCAAAATAATATACTTATAAAACTTCTCAGTAAGATTTGCCAAGCATTTATTTTACTGCTTAACATGCAAAATTTACATCATTCCAGTGGTTAAACACACTAATATCTTAACGTGTATAGAATTAAAGTACTGAAGGTAGCAGGACATCCCCTTCAAGATAAGGAGTACATGATGTTACAGAGCTTTGTAAATGTGTATAAAATGTCAAAAAAGGCATAAAAGTTGATTATGTAATTGCTTTGGTGCAGTTTGCTTTTGGCTTAATTCTGTCTTGTATAGATTGTGCCAGTTTAACTTTGGAAGCAATAATTTTGCCACATTTCATTTTCTATGTCTTTTAAAAATTGGCATTATAAATGAAATAATGTTTATTTAATGTTAAATATTTTCTTCATTAAAATCAGAAATTTGGCATTGACACTTTGGTATTTGAAATTGTGCTTAAGAATTGATGAATGCATACTTTTTATTTATAATCATAGATTATTTCCCAGAGCAAGTATACTATAACATGCCTATTAAAACTAAACAAAGACAGTAGGAAAATAGTAAGATATTTGGAAAATTAAAGAAAAATTGATCCAGCCTTTATATCCCTGACTTTAATTTTATTAAAGTAAAATTCATCATTGATTTTCCTATATTTCATTGTTTTGTTTTGAAATGAATCAGCTAATACTTTTATAATTTTATGTCAGATGGAGCTCAATGCATTTAGCCTGTATTGCACTTTATGCTCTAACAGTTTATACAAATTGTAAATAATTTGACCTTCCCCTTCCAAAAAAAAAAGTGATAGTTTCATTCAGTTTGATTAACATTCTCCATTTTTAAATGGAAGAATGAGGAATTGTGTGTTTAATTAGTACAGCAGTCAAAAGTAGAATGTATTTAGAACACTGAAAAATATGAAAAGGAAAAATGGCTTGTGTTGATCAGGGGAAAGATTCGCCACATAACTTCTTAAAGGCCTTGGATAGCAATGAGTATTTGATGATGTACCTCATCAATGAGCCAAAGAATTTGTATGCATAGATGCATACCCCATAAACACAGACAATAGGGTGGTGTAGGCCTGACAGTGAGGGAGGGTAAGAACTGGGTGGAGGGCGTCAATGGAGGACATCTGTAATACTCTCCACAATAAAGATTTAAACGATTTAAAGGAAAGTAGGGGTTATATACTAGAAATATATAGGCAATTACTGACTTACATTCATATATGTACCCCTTTTCTTGGTTTAGTCCGGACCCACAGGTAAACTAAGAGCTGTAAAATAAACTACCAGATTTTGCCTTTTCTAAACATTCCTTAGAATTATTTTGTGTCTCTTCCCAGGATGACTTTTCTGTCACAGATTTGGGTTTTTGTTAAACCCAATGGCTATTTATCTCCATTCCCCTCAAAGCTCCCCCAGTTTAAGTAGGCCTTGTCCTCTCTTCCTGCTTGTCACCCCTCCCCCCATCCTGCTTTGAGGTTCCAGTCGCATCAAGCATTAGAGTGAAAGGCACATAGGCCTGGTGGCTTGGGAATGCCTGTAGGTTGCTGGGCAGCATGGGCAAAGCCTGCCCAGCAGTCCCAGAGGCTTCTCCATCAGAGCCTTCCTCCGAGCCAGCAGGGCCAGACTCCTGGAGGAGCACTCAGAAAGCAAGAGGGATTGGCCAGCCGTTCTGTTGGAGACAGAAGAGGTTTCTCTTGGGTTGGTTCCAAGGGCTGTTTATAAGCAAACTTAACCCAGGGAAGAGACACACACACACACACACACACACACACCGGCAGCACAGATAGTTCTGGGGTACAACTAGCTGCCATTACTGAACTCGCTGTTCAGCTCTGCACAAATGATGCCTAGCACTGGGGTGCAGTGACTCAACAAGTGGAGGCTCAGTTGCTAAAAGATAATCCCTTTTGTTAGAGAAAATTGATTTATGAACCAGCAAGCTCCTAATGTTGCATATAATCAGACCGTATCTGTTTCACTTGATACAAAAGGGGCCTAAGATTTTAAGGAAGAGAGAATGGTGCAATGAGACAGTGTAGGATACTGGTTAGGCCACAGGCTGTTCCACTGTCCGCTACGTGAGAACCTTGAGAAAGTCAACATCCTCACCTGTGAAACAGGGATAATACTGTTTGTCATTAAGTACAACTGCTCATATTTTCAGTATTGCTGACTGCCTTTTGCAAACCAGTGGTGTTTTAACCCAAGAGAAAAGTTGTCAACCTCTTGAACTTTGCAGTTCCATGAGACCAAGTGCTGCAGTTGGAATGTGTTCTCCCAAAATTAGTATGTTGGAACCTAAGCCTCAATGTGATGGTACTGGGCAGTGGAGCCTTTGAGAGGTGATTACGTCATGAGGGCAGAGCCCCCAGGAATGTGTTTAGTGTCCTTATAAACGCAACCCTAGAAAGCTCCCTGGCCCCTTCTGAGAAGCTGGCCACCTGTGAACAAGGCGGCAGCCCTCGCCAGACACAGGACCTGCCGACACTTTGCCCTTGGATGTTCTTATCTCCAGAAGTGAGGAAAATAAACTTCTGTTGATTCTAACCACCCAGTCTGCAGTGTTTTGTTACAGCAGCCCACAGGGACTAAGACACCAAGCCTGAATGGGACCGTGAAATGACCAGGGCACTAAGGTTCTAGGAGAGGAAGCAGCTATTGTCACCTGAGGTTTCCCTGGACCTCCACACCTCAGGGTATATACTCCCTCCCCTTTCACTCAATCCACACTGACAATAAACTGCCTTTCAGATGCAGAATTCACGCTTTGTGCATTTCCTGGTAGCTGACATGGTCATATGGTCCTACTTGCTGGCCCACCTGCAGGTGAAAGTGGCCATAGCCAGGGCAGGAGTATTTCTGATTACTTCCCGTGGCCACAGCCAGTTGAGCAAGCACTCTACTGCAAACCCAGTCTGGGAGGCCCAGAACAGTGTACAGTAATTCCTGTGCTTAGTCATCTCGTTGTCCACCCAACTCCTGCCCAGGGACGGGTGGGACAGCCATCCTGTCCAAGGAGATGCTGGGACTCAGCCAGCACCCCCTTGCACACCCGCATCTGATTCTTGGAGGGCCTGTGAAGATTCTTATGGGCAAGGTTGCCTGGGCAAGAGAGGAATCTTGAATTGGAATTTTGAAACTCCTTTTGCTTTGGGGAATCAACACGTAACAGTCTGTTATTTGAAATTCATACATTTGCCTTGCAAACACATTTGCAGGAACACATTTGCAGGAATTATGCATTCAAATGCAGTCCTGCTTGTCCACGTGCTCTTACTCGCGTGTGGATGGGACATGATCAGGTGGACAAGCTCAGTCCTGCGGCCGGTGAATTCCCTGCCAAGTCTGAGCCTTCTGTGTCACAGGTGGAATAAAATGGCTGATTTGGAAATTGTCTTCTGCATGATGCCCCTGTGGTTTGGGAATCTGATTAGAGAAATACTGTTTGCTTTATTTGACAAGAGCAGAAATGATCTTTAAGGAAAATGTCTTGCTAGTCAAAGCTCTGAGAAGAGGGGAGGTTTAAAAGCCAATGAAAAGTGACCCCATTGTATGGGAGGACATATTTGGCAATGATACATCTGATAAGGGATTAATTTCCGAAATATATAAAGAACTCATAAAACTTAACAAAAGGAAGACAATCCAATTAAAAAAAAAATGGGCAAAAACCTAAATAGACAATTCTTCAAAGTGGATATACAGAAGGCCAAGAGACATACGAAAAGATGCTCGAAGTCACTAATTATCAGAGAGATACAAATTAAAATGACAATGAGGTATCAGCTCATACCTGTCAGAATTGCTACCATCAACAAATCAACAAATAAATGCTGGAGAGGAAGCAGAGAAAAGGGAACCCTAGTGCACTGCTACTGCGAATGCAGACTGGTGTATAACTACAATGGGAAAACAGTATGGAGTTTCCTCAGAAAAATTAAAAATGGAACTGCCATTTAGCCTAGTGATCCCACTTCCAGGAATATATCATAAGAATCTCAAAACAACAATCAGAAAGAACATATGCATCTCTATGTTCATAGCAGCACTGTTCACAATAGCTAAGATCTGGAAACAGCCCATGTGCCCATCAGCAAGTGAGTGGATAAAAAGCTGTGGCACATTTACAGAGTGGAATAGTATGCAGCTGTAAAAAAAGAAGTATCTTTGAGACAGCATGGAGGGACGTAGAGAGTATTATGTTAAGTGAAATAAGCCAATCAGAGGAAAACAAGGACCACATGATCTAGCTTATTTGTAGAATCTACTGAACAACATAAACTGACAAAACAGATCTAGAGAAGTAGAACAGACAATGAATCTCAGGGGGAAAAGGAGAGGAGGGGTAAGAAGAGATTAACCAAAGAATTTGTATGCATAGATGCATAACCCATAAACAGACAATAGGGTGGTGTAGGCCTGGGAGTGAGGGGGTGAGAACTGGGTAGAGGGGGTTAATGGGAGCCATTTGTAATACTCTCAACAATAAAGATTTAAACGATTTAAAGAAAAGTAGGGACTACATTACTAGAAATATATAGGCAATTACTGACTTACATTTTGTATTATATATGTACACCTTTTCTTAGTTTAGGAAGAGTCCAAGGTATGTTTGAATGCTCAGAGTAAAATTTGGTGATCTTCCTCTCTTTTTAATCAGAGGACACTTAGGAGCTGCAAGAGGTCACCCTTCCTTCCCCCTGGGTGACCATGGCCGGGTAATGTGGGCCATAGTCCCGGTGCTTGGTTGTCAGTAATCTGCACCAGGAAAGGCCGTTGGCTTCCATGGAGGTGAATCACCCCGCGGGCTCAGACTGGCTGTTTGGCCGAGGAACATAGGCCGCCCTGGATCCGCCCCTCTTCCTGCTTTTCCAGTTCTCACGTGAATCAGATGCTCTCACTTACTCTGCAGATTAAAACAGTCACCTATGAGACTTTAGCTCGCGCCGATTTGGCCCACATTCATTCTGACTCCCTCTTTACAGCCAGTGGGAGAGGCTGCTTTGCCTCAGCAGGACTTTGCTTCAGGAGTTTTTAATCGTGCAAACCATCTCCAGTGGTTTCCTTTTGGATGCGAACGTAAACCGTTACCAATGGTAAATTTCACCCGTCTATTAAAAATAACTCCTTATGTAACAATTGGCTGTAAGCGCTACAATAGAAAGGATGTAAGTATTTATTTAATGTCACACCAAATTAGCTTGATCTATACCCCTAGTTATTTCCTTTTGGAATGGTTGTTGGGCTCTTGCAGAATCCAATTGCGAGCCGCACTGGGATCTAAAATAGCAGGCAGTTGAAATGGCTTTGAGCTTAGAAATCAAGAGACAGTGTGCTTCCATTGTATTTCATGGAGAACCCTGAGATTTCCATTCTCCTGTCACTTTTCTCCTGCTCCTCAACCAAAGTATGTAACCAAACCATGAAGTCCTGAGCATCCTGTAACTTTCATTCATGTACAGATCCCCCCAAACTCTTTAAACGATACCCTGTAAGGTCAGTGTACTGACCATCCTATGCTGTGAGACACAAGAATGGCATGCTAGTCGAGGGCTCAGACTCTGTCCGTCCTGTGCGGTGTTGGGCTGGTTACTAAATCACTAGTACTGTGTCTGTTTCCCCAGATGTGAAATGAGGACCACACCAATGGAACCTACTTTGAGAGGCTACTGTGAGGAGGAAATGTCTTTAGGCATCTATGCTCTATTTAGAACAGTGCCTGGGACACAGTGAGTACTAGCTGAGTGTTTCATAATACTGCATTTGACTTTTAAAAAGAAGTGAGTCCTAGGTGTGCCCGTGTCTCTCTCATGCCATGCCACATGCATTTGTCCTTCTCAGCTGACCTTGTCACCTCACTCCAAGAAATGCAATAATTTATCACATCTGGCCTATAGTGAAACTGAAATTAAAAAAAAAAAAATCACAGCATCTTAGCCAACTCTCCATAGGGAAGGCTTGTCTCGAGGAGTGTTCATGGTCCCGGAGACAAGATTTGAACTGTTCTCCTCTCAAGTCAGCTAAGTGGGTTTTAGTGTTCCGGATAACCAGCTAACTGGCTCCAAACGGCTGGTTTCATTCCTCACTCCATGATGGCCTCTAGGAGATGATGCAAAAGTACCAACATCTCACCAAACTGTACAAATAAATATTCTGATGGAAAGCTTTTCTGGTCCACATTTTAAACTAAGTACGTAAAATCAAACATGTGAGTACTAACAGTTCTTTAGAAAATTAAAGTATGTCCTAAAATATTTACTGTGAATATCACATGGTTAGAAAAGCTTCAAAATAGGGTTGTGGCATCTAATTTATGCAATAAAAATCCATTATTATTCTTAGGATAATTATTATCATTTTTTTAAGCAAAAAACAAAACAACTATCAATCCAGATGGTGGGTAAGGAAATAATGCAATCATTTATATTCAAATAGATTATTATCAGGAAAATGCTTTAGTTAGGCAAATTCCTTTTCCAGAGATTACAGATAATACCATTTGATGGGATTGTCTTGATTTCATTTCAAGAATCATCACTGACTCTAACCATTGCCTCAGGCAGTTCCAAATTTACCAAAAAAGTTGAACTCTTAAGTTGAAAATTATTACATGAGGCTAATTTTAACACCACAAAGGGCATTTAAACAAATCAAGGCACTTTGTACCCATAGTGCTTTGTCTGGCTGTGAGCCTGAGCCATGTGATACCATAGAAAGCTGTTTTCTAAACAAATAAGTGGAACTGACGACATCTAATAACTGAGCTGCTGGCCATTTAGGGACCCTTTCGTGGTCAATAACACTTGAGATTTTCTCTTGGACTCAAGCTATGTGGGTTTAGTTGGAATACACCCCACTACCAGTCCCTTGCATAAGGTTTAATTGCCTCAAGAAGATCAATGTATAACACCCAGCTTCACCAGTGGCCATTGTGATTGGCTCAGGGATGGGCACACTAACCAATCAGAGCCAGTGATGACCTTTGCTAGGCATTCTGAGGAATAACTTTTCCCTCTTCCCTATGTGAGCAACCCAAAAAAGAAAGAACACACACACACACACACACACACACACACACACACACACACACCTTCTCTCCTTAGAATGGAATCTCTCTTGCCATTGAATGA